TTCGAACCCGCCCCAGCACCCCACGGGCCCCTTGCTCCCCGCAGCAAGCGAAGGGCACAGGCCAAGCCTGTCGCCCCCGTTGGTCCTTGAGGACATGTGTCTCCAAAGTTGGGGCGCAAGGGAGAAAGCGGCTCAAGGGGTCCTCTGGCCCCTGGCCAGCCTGGTGCACTCAGGGGGGCATGTCCAGCTGCACTCGTCGCCACTGTGGCGTGTCTGGACGGCAATGGCGGGTCCGCTGGCTCAGCCCGCCCCCCGCTATCCTGGACCTGACAGGAGCCTGCAGGTGGGGGTCCCGGCTGTTCTGACTCTGGTGAGCGGCAGGCAGATCTGTGCTCTCCCACCTGGCTCCAGGCCCACCCGTTGGCACATCCAGCTCCTGAGCCCCAAGTTTGCATCTGGCCTGCAGGCCGCAGGATGCAGGAGGGGCCTCGGGTCTGTGTGGCCCTGGGAGCCACAGGTCCAGCCTACCCTGACCAGGGCCCACTGGGCACAGAGTCGCATCTCTATCTTGGCTGCAGGGGGACCCTCCGCTTCCCAGAGCCGCAGGGCTCTCCTGACCCTTCCCCTTCTCTCTCTCGCCACTGGCCCTTTCTGTCTCCTGGATCTTCCCAGAGGAATGGGGGAGGCTTGGGCAGATTCCAGGAGGCCACGTCCTGTCCCTCCTGTCCCTCTGGGAGGGCTTGTCTGCTTGGGGAGTAAGAGGGAACTAACTGCCCCTCAGCCCGGCCAGGCGGTGAAGAGGGACAGGACCGCGCTCTGGCTCCCTGAACCCCCGAGGGGCAGGCAGGGCGCGCCAGGCAGGGGAGACTCGGGCCCTGGGAAGTGACCCAGTTGCCGTGCCTGGGCCTCCTCTCTTCTCCAAAGAGAACCAGATTAGGTGGCGCAGAGCCCAGGGAGGCGCCAGACCGAGCCCATCCGGGCCGTGGTGAGGGCCAGGAGGGACCCTGGGGACGCAGGCCTAACCGCACCCTCTGTCTGATGGCTCTGTCTGATGCGGGGGACCCTGCCCTTGGGACACCAGGCTGGTGGTGACGAGAATGACGCCTCTGTGCACGGGGGCATCTTGCCTCCTGCTGATTGCGGGCGCCCCATGCCCTCCTACCGCTGGGGCTGCAGGCTGCTGGGGCTCGCGCCAGGACCCCAGTGCCCCTGCGGACACTTAGGACAGTATGTCCTGCTGTCCACCTTGTGGGGTGGGATGAAGCTATGGCTCAGGAGACCCCACGGGGTGCTGGGCTATAGACCGGAGGTGCCCCCAGGGGAGGGCAGAGCCAAGGCTGCAGCCCCCGCACGGCGGGGCAGGGCCTTTCTCTGGCACCTCGGGTCCTGGCCAGCTCTGGGCGGGGCCTTTGCACGCACGTATTTGTGAAGTGTCCCCAGAGGCACTCCTGGGAGGACTGCTGGCCCTCGGCCCCTAGGTGGGCAGCAGGCGCCAGAGGCAGCCCCCTGACCACACCACCACACATCTAGCTAGCAGGGCAGCGTGGCCTCGCCAGGAGGCTGGCCGGACCAGCAGAGCGGCACGGCCCAGGGGCGCCAACTTCTCTGCACGGAAGCAGCCGAGAGGGACGATTTCCGCAGGCCTGAAGCCCAGGTCACTAAGGACACCCGGCCCCGTCAGCATGACCAGCCCCGTGGCCACCTCTCCAGCCCAGCCCACACGGGCCAGCCGCGGCCTTGGGCTCCTGGCCCCTCCCTCCCCACCCACAGCTGTCACCTCTCCCAGACCACGGGGCCCGCGTGGCTCCCCTCAGCCTCCGCTGATTTCACTGCTGTGACGACTGTTTCCGCACGGAGCCGCTGGATCGGGCCTGATCCCCACACCCCGCAAGTGCACAGTTGAGTGATGGCCCGTCCGAGCCAGGGCTGGCAGCCGCCACCACGGCGTCTCTGGAAGCAGGCACACAGGATGTGGGCTCCCCTCCCGCTCCTCTGGCCCGGCCAGGCTTCCAGGCTCCCGCCCCCAGCTGGGGCGGCCCAGCGGTCGCGGCCATGTGTCGACAAGGCCATGTGTCGACAAGGCCATGTGTCCACAAGGTGCTCGCTGCCCAGCTCTGGCCGCCTCGGGGCGTGACCTGTGTGACAGAACCGGCTCTCTCCATCCGTCTGACTCTCCGCTCCCCTCCAGGGCAGACCCCAGACTCGGCTGCCTGCCCCAGACAACACTGTAAGTCTTGCTGTCTGCGCAAGAGGGGCAGCGTCTTAGGGGAGGCCCCCACTTCACGCTCAGCCTTTCCCAGCACGTGTTTCCTCCCAACTTCCAGAAGGGCCTGAGCCTGGAAACTCACGCGTCACGCGTCTGTCCGCATCACCGCTGACACTGGGTCGGGGCCACGGGTGTGGGGTGCCCTGTGCAGGCTCTGGAGCGGCAGCCCCGACACCTGCCAGCAGCACCTTCCCCTCCCAGGTGTGGCGACCACAAACTTTCCCACAAATGTCCCCCAGGGAGCTAATGCAGCCCCGTGGACATCTCTGGGCCACACGATTCCTCGTGTCTTTTCCACGGAAGCCGGGGGAGTGGGCTTTGCCGACGCAGCCCAGAGAGGTGCGCTGCGGGAGCAGAGACCCTCCTGCCCGGGGAGCAGCCTTTCACCCCAAGGAGGAGCCAGGAAGGGAGGAGGCCTCCACCCCTCCCCTCCGAGCCACCGAGCTACCCTGCCCTGGGGCTTGGCTGGAAAACTCCCTGGGCTGCCCTGTGGCCAGGAGAAGCCGGCCTGCGAACTCGGCCTGCCCCCGCCCCTCCCGCCAAATCCTTATCATTCCATTCATTTTTCACTGTTCACAAGACAAAGGAAATACACTCCGGGAGGAAGACACAAGCTGTGTTTGTTCCTCAGCGGCTGCTGAGATGTAACTGGATCCTGCTTGGGGAGGTCACGGGGCCAGGCCCGCCCCAGCCAGCCTGCGACCCGGCAAGTTAACTTCCTGGCCCTGGAGTGCTGGGAGAGAGGTGGCCAGCCCCTGTGTCCCCGTGTGTCCCCTCGCACCCCGGCCCCCCAGCGGTGGGCTTCCCTGCCGGGCTGCGGCTTCTCAGCCTGCCGGGCCCACAGCAGCTGAAGGGCCGATCGGCGGGCCCGCGCGCAGGACCCTGGCCCCCAGCCATGCTCGGGCCCCCCTGCCCACTCGGCAGGCTGGGTCCACTGATCACTCCGTCCTCCGAGCCGGGCAGATGAGGCACACCCATGGCCCGCTCGCGCCTGGTCTTCGTAAGCACCAAGGACGACTGCAAGAATGTACATTAGGTTATTTCATAATAACAATACTTGCTGTTGCCTAATACAAGTAATAGATTAATTGTATGCTGGGGACATGACAGACCCTCAGTGGCTTAAATGCATTAGTAATGAAACCTCCCAACTCTTTACAGGAAACGGGGCAGGCAGAGATGCCGTCATCCACCCGGGGCTCGCTAGACCAAGGGTTTGAGCCCCGCGCCAGCCATGACGCCCTAGTGTTTAACCCCTGGATTCCGTGGCTTCAATAAAAGGCCGGTGTGCGAGCACGGAGGACAATACTGGCCATTATGCGGCAGGACGGCGTCCCGGCCAGTCCGCCAGGCACTGCCTGGTGGGTCTATGTCCACGCCGCTCCAGCTTCCAGCACCTTCTGACCTGACAGCCGCCCCTGTGGCAGGTGGGACAAGCCGGAGGCCTCTGGCCAGTGTCCGCGGCCTTCATGGGGTCAGGCGCTTCAGGCGGCTCTCCTCCGAGCGCTCGCTGGCACGGCCCTGCCCGCTTCCCCGCGG